AAAGCGGGTTTTGAGATATTGTCAATTCAATATTAAATGGAAAATTGACTATATCTCAAAAACTGTTTTACTTTTATAACTTTTGACGACATTTTCGGATTTAGCGGACCATTTTACATAGAAATTCACTGCCAAATGTTCAAGATAAAAAAAAACAGTTTTCAAATTTTTTTATTGATGACGTCATATTAGAAAAGCCTATTTATTTAGTTCCTTCTAAAATAAAGCCCTTTATATTTTAATTGACAGATAAAACAAGAGGGTCATCCTTTCCCTTCGGATCTGACCCAACGCTATTTGTAATGTTCGCGGGTCATAATTTTGATAAATTTTGCCCCACAGGGGTTCTTTTATAGGTGCGGACCATTGTCCCAATTGACGCCATAAAGTGACAAGAATAATAAAAAAATTGTTTAAAAAAAACTATAAAACTTACAAACTTTTGCTTAGGCGCAACAGGTGACAAAAATGTTTGAGACTCTAAATAAATTGACGAAGCTCAAAAATCATTTTAAGTACCAGTACCAACAAGAGTTTCGCGCTGTATTAAAATTACGTATTTTTTTGTCGCCCCCACCGTAAAACCATGCCCGGTGTTTATAAGCGAACTAATGCCCACATCCTTCAAGAAGATGCCCAGAATGTCTACTTTAAGAAACATCCATTTTTCGTCTTGAAAACATTCGCCAAATGTGCAAAATCGCGTAACTTCTAAGCAGAATTCAAATTGAAGTTTGCGAAAAAAAGTTGGGTTTTTAGTGTGCCCCCCAAGATAATTCAAATTAAAGTGGTACAATATTTAATTCACTGAAGTTTATCGACAAATTTCAAATTTTATTAAAAAAATTCAAGTATTGCAGATTTTATATCATTTCTATTTTTTTTTAATTTAGTAAAAGAAATAATAAAAATTTAAAATGGTATAAAACCTGTAATTCTTGAATTTTTTTAATAAAATTTGAAATTTGTCGATAAACTTCAGTGAATTAAATATTGTACCACTTTAATTTAAAATATCTTAATTTGGGGGGGCAGGAGGCTAGGGGGGCGCTTCTCGGCCTATTGCTAAGATGAAAGCAATCCCCTTCGTGGAGTTGACAGTGCAGGTATTTTTCTTAATAAAATACAGTAGAACCTACATTGTGGGTATTTTTTTTTTTAATTTTTTTGAAAAAAATATTTATTTGATTAATATTATTATAAGGATATTTATATTTCAATTATGTGTAAACTAAATAGTTATTTGTTTTACAAGTGTGGAAAAGCGACTTTTTCATGCGAGTTTTTAAGTTGCCCACGAGGCCGTTAGGCCGAGTGTGCATTAACACGAGCTTGAAAAAAGCTTTTCTCACAAGTATAACACAATGTTTTTTCTGCGACCCTTTTATTTTTTATTATTTTTAAATACAAAACAAAATAACCTAAAAACTTTTTTGACAGCTGAATGTCAAACGATGCTTTCCGGTTCTTTTCACACAGACCTGTCACTTTTCACACAGAAATGTCACTTTACATTCGTGTTTTGCCTTGCCAATGAAAAGATTAATTTTCTAAGCAACGATGCCATCATGAAAAGTGACTTTTACATAGTGGTCGTAGAAAAAAGACTTTTTCTACTCCTATTACGGAATTTGACCGTTCTATAGAATATAATATCACTTTTGTCAATGTTATGACATATATTCCGTAAAGTGCTACAGAATGAAATATTTAATCATCTGATTACAGAATAAACATATACTTACCACAGTAAGTATATGGTAAGTATATGAGAATAAACCCTCGTGGCGACATCTCTGTTTTTATTATCTAACAAATTTTAGACCGATTCAACCTCACTTTCTTCCAATTAAATTATTTTTCTATGGTATTTTTTGGAAACGTAGAAAAAGTATAGTCTGAAACACGTTTGGAATTGCGTGAAACCGTCAAACTCGCCTTCGGCTCGTGTGACAAACTCTTCACTCGAGCGGAATATGCTGTATTCCAAACTTGTTACAGAATATACTATAGTATATATATATATATATATATATATATATATATATATATTATAGGTCACCAAAAAGAATCTGTTTTTGTAATAGGCACACTTTTAAATTTTTGGTTTTGCACATTGTTTCATGTTCCATTTCCCACCCTCCGCACATAATTTTTTTAAAAGATTGCACATTGTTGGCACATCGTTCTAAAATAATTTTGCACACTTTTTGCACATTTCATTTTCGCCAGGGATGGCCAGCAAGAAAACTAATGAAGGTGACTGTGAGGCAAAAGAAAACCCTGCCTCGAGCAGCACTCAAACCATTATAGACACCAAACTAAATGAGGAAAAAGAAAAGCTTGCCTCAAAAAGTACCCACAATACTGAACCCACAGAGGATAAAGACAATACTGCCTCTAGTGGCTCTAAAACGCTTAACTCAAAAGGATCCGGGGATAAAGAAACTCCTGCTCCCAAGATTCTGCATATAGTAATAAGAAAGCGAGATAAATGAACAACAATCGTCAGCTAACTAAATAAAAGAAAGATCAAGTTCCATAGAGCACAAACCGCTGATGAAGGAATAAGAGTATTTTCATCCTCTACAGAAGACTTCCGCAACCTTGCCACCATTGCCATCCGAGGGGTCCCCACCGAGATCGACACCAAAGACGTCCCAGAAGACCTAAAACACCAAGGGTACCATCCATCCAGCATACACCGTATGACCAAGGGCCCAGACAAGACACACATGCCACTGATCCAGGTACTGGTACCCAGAACGGAAAAGAAAATATTCAACATCACAGCAGTTCTGGGCCTGAAAGTAACCATAGAAACCCAACGAACAAAAACATAAATAAGCCAATGCTACCGCTGTCAACGATATGGACACGGGCAGAGCAGATGTACAGCGTACCCGAAATGTGTGAAGTGTGGGGAAGAGCACCACTTAAACAACTGCGAAAAGCCCAAAACAGAGCCGCCCACCTGCGCAAACATACGGCCAACTATAGGGGCTGCGAAAAATATCCAAAGCCAAAACCTGAAAAATTACAGACCAAAAGAAGCGAACCCGTATTAAGTACAACCAACTATAACAACTACGCCCAAGCAACCATCGGTGCACAGCCTCTGCAGACTCTATAGAGTCTATAGACCTCTCCGCTCAACTACAAGCATTCTCCAACCTGTTTCTGCAAATGCAACAAATCGCCATGTCGTCCATTACCTAACACCCGACAACCCAAATACCTTAAAATCCACGCTTGAAATGCGAACTCTCTAAAAAATAAGACGCAAGAATTCATCGAGCTAATTTGGAGACTCAGTATAGACGTCGCGATGGTGGCCGAAACGCACTGGAGGAATGCAGATAGTCTCACCATCCCCAACTACGAAACATACAACACAAACAGAACAAGAAGAGAAGGAGGAGGTACAGCCATCTTTATCAGAAGCAACTTAGAACACCATCAGTCTTACATACCTCCCCTGGATGACCTCCATCATAGTCAGGATGATCCACTTCGGCAACCAGGCTGGTATCGGCATATCACCCACCGCAACGCGCAACCACGCCCTCAGATTATGTAAAAGCCATGACATTGGACAACACCCCTACACTGCTGGCCGGGGATCTTAACGCGAAACACACCGCCAGGGGAAGCCGAGTCGTGAACCAATACGGAAGGGCACTATAAAGATTATCAACCAGACACGCATGGGACTTACATGCGCCAAACACACCCTCCATCTATCCCAGCAACGGAGGCCGACCGGACATTATGGACAAAGTCCTAGCCATCCCGGTGAACTTTGAGGTCTGCACCCTCAAGGACCTTTCATCGGAACATAACCCAATTCTGTTAACAATCGGCGCTGATAAAGCATCCAACCACGCCACTATCAGAAATACCAACTGGAAAGAATTCAAAAAGTCTCCAAAAAGATCGTAACAAGTAGCCCAGCCAAGGAACAACAGTTGGAAACTGCTTTTGTGAACCTGCAAGAGGCAATAACATCGTCCCTTCAGGAATCCACCAGGGAAAGACCACTCAAAAGACCCCACGAGATACCCAGAAAGATAAAAAGGCTAATTGATGAGAAAAGAAAGGCAACTAAGCTCACGCAAAGAACCCTGGACCCCGCACACAAACAGGAAGCCAACCGCCTAGCCAGAGCTGTAAGGGCGCAGCTCAACCAACACACCAGGGACAGATAGGAAGAAAAACTTCAGAGCCTGGCGCCGGATTCATGAGCCCCAATTGAATTGGGGTAGTAATAAATCCCTGGTTTAGGGGGATTCAGGATTGTACTTAGTTTTGGGTCAGTCCAATGTCCCCCAAAAAAACAAAATATTTTTCCTTCTTGTCCCGCACTCCACTAGCCTAAATCGGGCATGTGGCCCGGCCCGGCGACAAATTCCGGGAAGGGCTGTAACCATCGAAACTGTTATCCACACCCGGGGTGAAAATTCGGAATCACCAAACAAAGGTAATGCTGTGCAGTTGCGGGATACGTGTATGAAAACTAAAAGTTGGTAAAAAAACTCTGGGAAATCAGTGTAAGGCAATGTCGATGGGGCCAGCCATAAGTTCTCATAATCGTACAAATACTTATATCGAAAAAAAAACGGTTTACTCACAATATCACAAAAATAAGAGCAGATTGAGCAAAATGGTCATTTTTGGAATCAGCTCACGCAAATTAAACAAAGTTGTTGGCCACCATGCAGCAAACAATTTTTTTTATTTTGCCGGCCTGTGTAATAATGGTGTTAGCCACCCCTGGAAAATTGTACATGGGCGCCCATGTCATGGACTTAAATAATGCTGTCAAACCATAAAAAAAGCAGTGTTTTAAGAGTGCCAAACCATAAAACGCAATGTTTTAAGAATGTTTTAAAGAATCTTAAACCATAAAAACGTAAGGTTAAGAAAGTTTTATAATACTATACCTTTATTTGTGTACCTAAAAATTTGTAGGGTTTAAAGTAAAACAAGTTTTTAGGCTAAATTAATTATTTATTTCTTAAAATCAAAAATAAAACCCATTAAATCTCTACAAGTACTAATATTTTTGTTATTTTTTTAAGGATACAAGACATAGTAACAAAGTCATATTTATTAAAAAAATATTTATTTCCAACAATAACAATGTTTTAAATAATGGACATAATGTGATAAAACGTTTCTTTCAAACGATCGGAAAAAAGTAGAATATGTAGGTACCCTGAAAACGAACTTAAAGTCTATTCATCAGGATAATTATAGGAGTCGCGTCATATTTACAAAAAACAATTAATAGCTATGTACAAAAGGGGTAAATTAAATAAAATCACATGATAGAACACAAACCACTGAGCTCGGCGCCTTTGGCGACTGGCGGCATCTTCCTGAGGGCCACCCCTTGCAGGGCCGGCTTCAGATTTAGTTGCACGGGCTCCTCGCCGGGCGGCAGCGGCTGCGATGGGTCTATGAGGCCCTCCGTGGGGTCTACAAGACCCTCCCCGGCGTCGCGACTCGTCTCTTTTGGCGCTATCACAGACAACGGTTTGCTGATGTTTATTTTAATGCCTTTCGAGGCAGTCGCGGCCACATTCGAGTTTAACTCCACGTTACCGTCTATCGATGTTAGGAATGTCGGGTGCGCGGACACTGTGCTTTCCTTTTGCGGCGATTCCAGTTCGCCGTTGTTTTCCGTTAATGAGCCACCCAGTTCCGGGTCTGTTATATCCAGAGGATTCTCGTCTGTGTTTAAAGAGTAAAATTAATAATTAAAAATGTCAAGGGTTTGGGCGGACAAAAATAAACCCCCTTATAATCTCGAGGGTTTTAACTTTCTAAGCAAAAAAAACAAAATCATTTTTGATCGCCTACATCAAGTTTTATACAAAAATATATATATATATTATAAATGATTTATAATATATCAATGGTTTATAATATATCAACGCCATTTTAGTTACGAGTTTAATAATTATAAAAATAATTCATTAAAAACAACCACATTCCCAGCTCATTCCTCAGGATGTCCTTGGACCAGCCTTATGTACCAGACTGGGGTGATCCAATAAGGACGTCCAGAGGACGTCCATGGGTCAACCCTTCAAGATATGGGGATATCATTTAAGGATGTCTTTGGACCAGCCTCAATGTCCCAGAATGGGATGATAATCTTAATTAATTAAAAATATTATTTAATAGGTAAAATGCCCGCTAAACTTCGAATTTAAAATAGTAACAAAGTAACCTCCTTTTAGTTTAAGAAAGTAACCAATGAAATAAAATAACCTAACAAAACAACGGAAAAAACTGCAATATTAATAAGAATATTTTAAACGTAACGTTACAAAACTCTCATCACAGATGAAATTATGTGATGGGGGGAGGAGGTTAACAAATTTGTGACACTCTGACAATGCCAAAACTGTAATATAAATTCTAAAAATGCGCGGGTCTGCAAAAGCAAAAATTACTGGGTAACCAGAATCTAGTTTGGGCTATCATAAGTGAATAGATATTGTATCAAAAAATACACAATAAAAACAAAACAAAAACATTCTATAAAAAAAAACTTATCATACTATAAACATCAAAACTTCTTAATGGTATCGCCACTGAAGTTTTCCTCTTGCAAAATGGGCGAGTCATTTTATCTGCGTCTTTTTGCAATTTATTTTCATTGGCCCTTTGGTGCAATGCAGAAGCATGGCTTGCGCAACTTTATCTTCAACTAAATCTTTTTCGTTCAAAAAGTCTATCCAAGAAAAACGAGTTTTTTATAAAACCTGATTGATAAATATAGGACAATCGCGGCATTTTAAAAAAAATATGAATATAAAAAGGAAAATTACGTAACTGAAAATAGTTAAAAGCTTGAAGTTTAAAAATAAAATAAATATTTTTCAATAAAATATATTTGACCACGCCCATTTTATCGACAATCGCCAATTAAAAAAGTTTAAGTTGAATTAGCAGTTCCCAAATTGCCCATTTGGTGATAAATCGTTTAACATGACAACACCGCTGGTAGGAACATAGTAGCTAAGCGAAAACGGTCGGGTGTGTATGCTCAGCTGAACAATGTTTTTTCCTTCAAATTACACAAAATATCATCATACATATTTTAACAAGTTTAATCTCTTCCATTATTCAGGGTTCCCTCTTTTAAAACCATTTAAAATTCCCTGACTTTTCCAGGTTTTCCCTGACCAAAGTCCCTATAATTCCAGATAAATAAAAGAAAGACATAAAGACAATTATCTCCCAAAATAGTATCCCATCAGAATTATGTTAAGTCAAAAATAGCGTTTATTTTTGTTAATATTTATTTAAAAATTAAATATTATAATCAAAATTAAAATAAAATTTTAATAAAAACAGTTTAACATAAAATAGATTCTTTGGTACAAACATAAAAAACATTCTTTGGTATACATTTATACAAATATACCATATTCATCAAAGCAATGCACAACAAACTTTAAAAATTTAAAATTAATTATGACAATTGTTTTAATTATTGTTAATTGTTCGTTTGTTTATCAGGTGCATTACTTTGCGATGTGTAAAATTTTTTTGTGTAAAATCCTTGATAATTACCGCCGTACGAAAACAATTGTTTACGATACCAGTGTTGCCAATACGGCGACTTTCAACGAAAAAGGGTCAGAAAACAAGCCGTTTTATAAATTTCCCTGACTTTTACCATAATATTAACAAATTCCCTGACTTTTGCGCTGACTTTCAAAATTCCCTGACTTTTCCCTGATTTTATTGGACTTGAACGGATTCCCTGACTATTCCAGGTTTTCAAGGATTTCCAGGTGAGAGGGAACCCTGTTATTTTTCTATGAAATGTTTACTGAGCATTTTCCCCAAAATCGCCATGCGAGTAAAAGGGAAACAGCAACACTAATTATTTCTAATAATTAGGGTTCCTCTCTGGTACATGGTTTGGACAGGGAGGTTAATTACTTAAGTTTTAACCTCCCTGTCAACACAAAATTAAATTCAGAAACACATTTTTTTTCTCCCTTTGTTCATTTATTTATTTACCGTAGTGATCTGAAGACTGAACCGGATATAACCTCGAAGGAACAAGTTTTTTGTGTGTTTTATTTAAAACCAAACCAATGTTTGTTCTGCGTTGGGTTGTAGACCTTGTATATATTATAATGAGAATAAAGAGCCTGGAATAACCCATAACCAGAAAATAAACCGTTTACAGGCGAATATTCGTTATATAACTAGTGGAAACCACAAAGACGCATGACTTGAAGAATTTTAAACCTTAAAACCAAGAGATGGTTATAAAAATGTTAGACCATAAACCCAAGGTTTTAAAATGTTAAACAATAATAAATAAAGTTTAAAAGAATTTTAAATAAAACATTTTAAGAATATGGTTTTAACTTTTTAATAAAAAAAAACATTTAAAGAATGTAAGGCCACATCAACTAAAAATATTGTTTTAAATGTTAATAACCATAAAAACGTAAGGGTTTCAGAATGTTTAAAAAAATGTTAAAACCATATGGGTATTTCCACGAAACCTTACCCCACCTTGACAAAAAATCAGATGTGTTATTTAACAAAATAACAACTATATCTAAAGTCAAATAGTTTAATTTCGACGTAAGTTATAACCTTAAAATATACAGGGTGTCCCAGAACTCGCGCCACAGAGAAAAAGGGGGCGTGCCGATAGCAATGGAGATGCCAAATTTAAAAATAAAAAATTTCTAGGTAATAGTGTAATCGAATGAGAGCAAAAAAGCGGCAGCCAATACCGAGAGATCTCGCCTAGGTTAAACGTAGGAGCTTTAAAAATTGCTAGGAGACGATAGAACATTGTTGTCTTAAAAACATTTAAAAATCTTTTGGCCAACTGTATTTACTAAGTTGTCAAAAGCTTTCAAAAAATTAGGTTATTAATCTATGACTGATACTTCAGAACGCCAATGTTTTAAAGTAAAAAATCAAACCAGTTGTACTTTATTTAGCTTTTTTTGCGCCCACGCTCCCCATAAATAGTTATCATTTCGGTATAATCATCAAGGAAAACATTATTTATAATAACTTAATTTATTAGTGTGGATTCACAATGGACATAACCATAAAAGATACATAATGAAATCATAAATCATAACCATAAAATTTACATAAAACCCAAAGAGCGTTCACAATGACCATAAAAATTGACATGTTGAGCATGTCAAACTAATGTCATTTTAATTTAATTTAAATTAAAATTTGTGAATTGTGTTTTTAAAATGAGTGAGACTGAAGAATTGTTATTATTGTTACTACTAAGACGACGATGCCAAGAACGCCAAGATAGGGTAAAACCAAAACGAACAAGACGCTGGTGGGTTCGTCCTATAAATAGAGATAGAGAAAAAAAGGATTTCGAAGACTAATTATTGAAATGCGACTTCATGACACTGAATGGTTTTTTACTTATACTAGAATGACAGCCTCATTATTTGAGGAATTGCTAAAACTAGTGTCCCCTAAATTGATTAAACATAGCATTCGAAAACCACTGAGTCCAAGTGAACGGTTGGCCATTACATTGAGGTTCTTTACCTACTAAAAATAAATAAATAACGTATTTATTAATCCTTATGTAAATACATACAATGTAAGGTTCCAACATAAGATTAAATGGCCAATGACCGAGGTCCTTCAGCCAAATGTGCTTAATTTTAAATTGATATTAAACAATAATAATAGCAATGGTAATGCTTTTTAATTTTGGTATAGAATGGTAAAAAAAGAAAAAAAAGAAGTTAGTCTAAAATGGATTTGAATAGTTCAAGTAATGTCTTTTCGGGATGTTTGAATTTCTGTTATTTTGGGTGTCTTGTGCCTACTTTTATTATAATAAAAAACTAAAATAATAATTTGGCTTTATCTTAGGTATTTGTCTACAGGTGACTCAACCTTTTCCATAGCAAATGGTTATAGGAACCGCAAGAGTTGCCAATATAAAAACATAACAAACCAAAAGTCACCGAATTTTCCCAAAAAATTACATAAATATTTCATAAAGTTAAATTATTTGAAATTTATGTGATTTTTACGGTACTCCATAATTTTTACATAAGAGTCACATAAACGTAAAGATTACGTACTATGCACATTGTGAACGCTTCTTATGTATCTTTATGTATTTTTTTTATGTATTTCTTATGTTTTTTTTATGGTTACGTCCATTGTGAACAAGCACTTACCTAATACAATATTAATGACAAAAGTAAAGATTGAGTAAAGATTGACAGCAGTGTTACAATGAATTGGATTCCAGTGGACCAAATATTTTACATATTTTTTATTATCAACAATGCAACCTAAGTATCCTAGCAATTTAAAGAATTCCCTGTGGTGATCTATTGGGATTGGCTATCGTTTTTTATTATTATCTCCCTTATCCTTTGCGTTAGACAATTTGAATTTTTAAATATGTGTTTCAATTTACTTTCGGTACGTTCCCTTTTTCTATGTGGCGCGAGTTCTGGGACACCCTGTATACGGAGTTTCAATATTCGATAAAATGTTCAAATGTCGCACCCGTTACATTTTGTGAAAATTTTAGAAAATAAAGTATGCAATTTTTGTGCATTTAAAATATATGCTTGTTTAAGGTTACTATTCAAGTTTTACACAAAAAATTATTACTATATGCTTTCATCCAAAATTTTACAGTATCAACTTTAGAAGCAAACTTGGTCGCCTTTGCCGATTACGCTAATCATGACGTTATAAAAGGTTTTCTATACAAGTTTTTATTGACATTTAGTTTGAGTTAAATATCTAATTTTTCATACTATTTTTTTATATTAACGTATCTTGATATATATACATACCTATGAACAAACACTTTATTATCATGAAAAAACGCATTTTTAGTGTCGCACCCGTTACAATGGAAATACACATATTTAAAAAATGTTGCAAGATTTTAAGAATGTTATATCATAAAAACATGGTTTTAACAAAATAAAACTATAAAAAACATGATTTTAAAAAGTTAATACCATAAATACAAAAAATGGTTTTAAAATTGCTAAAAGCCATAAAACGCAAGATTTAAAAAATGTTTTTAAAGAATGTAAACCAAAACACAAGGTTTTAAAAATGTTAATCTATATAACGAATGGTTTTAAGAATGTAAAACCATTAAGATCTTAAGGTTTTAGGAATAATAGACCGTAAAAACAAAAAGATGGTTTTAAGAATGTTGAGCAAAGTTTTAGTAATGTTTTTTAAGAATGTTAATTTAAAAAGAGAATGTAAACCGAAAAATATATTCACTCACCTAGATCGACAGGTTCCGCTTTAATCTTAATATGACCGCCATTGGGCAAACTGACCACCCCTCCTACATCCTCAAAGCCGTCGTCAATTTCGATTTTCTCCTTTTTAACCGTAACCTTTTTATTTCCGACGTTGTTCTCCTGCTCGCGGTGAAGTTCGTCGTCGTCGTCATCGTCATCGATGACGATTTTCACAGGCGCTTCTTCGTTGAGGATGACATCATCGTCGTCGTCTTCCTGCGGAGGATCTTCGAACATGTCTTTGGATTCTTCCCCGTCAACATCGGGCTCGTTTTTGTCCTTTTCATCATCACTTTCGTCGATAATCACTTCGGAATTCGAGTTGTGCACACTTTCAACATCGTCGTCATCCAAAATTATTTGCAGACCGGGTATCAACTCTTTATTTTCTTCCTCTTTTGTGGCAGAAACATCAATCTGACTCTCATCCAAAGTTACCTCCTGCAAAGACCGCTGAAAAACAAAAAACATCATCGAAAAACCCCTAGCACGGCCGATAAAAATACTCACAAGGTGGTCCTCGTAACACAAGGGGTGATAATAATTCTCCTCGATCTTCATGGCGTTCCTGAAGTGCCATTCTTCCTTCTCCTCGTTGAAAAACTGATCAAATTTGTCCTTGCACACTTCGCAGTAGTCCTTGGTGACGTCCGGATCGGCCGGTATAGTAGGAATCTCGACCTCCTCTTCCGCATCGTTTTCGGCGCCCTCTGCCTGTGTGGCTTGCTGGTCGAAGAAGTTTTTCTCTGCAAAAAATGTTCACACCATAAAAATGCTAAACCTTAAAAAACACAATACTAACCTCTTTCTTCCAAATCCTCAATTTCTTCATAATTCTTCCAGTCAGATAGAGAGTAGTACCATCTTCTGCTGGAAGCCACCCTGATATTCTTCTTCCCTTTACGATTCTGTCTGAAATGCCAATCCAAATGCTGGCTGTAATGAGTGGTCTGTTCCGGCGGAAACCTCATTCCGCAACTGCTACACTGCATGCCGCTGTACAAAACGCCGTATAGGCTACCCTGCCGACTTTTCAGGGTTTCCGGTTTAGAGAAGGAAACCATCTTGAGATTTTCCATGGGGCTTCTCCTGGGTTTGTTGTCGAGAATCTGCTGATCCAATCGGACCTTGGGTTTGGCGTTTTCTTTGAAAGGGGAAGTGGCAACTATGCCGGATTGCACCAGTTTTTGGAACAGGTCGTTTATGTTGAGCGGGTTTATACTGTTGGCGGGCGCCGCCTCCGCAGAAGTCTTTTGTTGGTTGTCAGAGTTTGTTTGGTTGAAATTTTCCACTTGGTAGCCGCCAGAGGTGCCTTTCTCGTTGGACGCTGATGATATCACGCTCGAGAGAAGGTCCAAGTGGTTGGCTACAAGAATTTTTAGGTTAAAATGTTATTATGGTTTCAACTGTTTAAAGCATTAATAAGAGCGAGTTTCGGTTTGTTTATAAATTGAATCGCATATCAAACTTTATCTGCGACAAACGAAAAGTAATGTTTTTAAAATTTAAAACTAATTTGATTTGACATTTTAACTGTCAAACGGATTTGTCCTCACTTTTAACCAATCTATGCGACGGTTTTAACCTCACTTTTTCGCAATTTAATAAACTAGTGCATAAACTAACTTAGTGAAGTGTATTAAGTGTAAAGGTAGAAAATATTATGTATAAAATTTATAAAAACTAGTGTCGAGACAAGTTTATAAAACAAGTTGGATTCTATACTTTATCTAGGAAGAACACAAATAAGAATTCAAAGAAAATTTTATTTGTTAAACATTTGACATCTGACAACTGTTAGAAGAATGTAACCTCATTGTTCCCAATTTATTAATAAAGCCAACTTAAGCCCGTAAATAAAACGTTCAGTGTTGCCATTCTAGTACAATTGTAATAGATCTAGTACTTTTTAAGTACATTATGTACTCTAGTACTTTTGGATCTAAATCTAGTACTGTTTTTTTTAATATTGGCTCATTTTTAACTGCCGCTGAATACAAATTAGTCTAAAAATTAATGACAAATATTTACCCGTTTTTTAAAATTATACAACTCCATACAGATACACGGAACTAAAATACACATTTAGCAACATTGGGCATAATGATAATAGATGGCGATACCTACTAAATAGTTGTTGCCAAAGAAAGCTGCCCTTTAGATGTTGCGCATGACTGTCACTTGTCATTAAATACCATTTCAGTATTTTAATGGCTGATGTTTAAATTTTACATTTTTTTAGTTTGATTTGCTGTCGTGTGTAATTAAATTTGAATTTCAAAAAGTGTACTTCAATATACAGGGTGTTCCGAAATTAGTGCACCATACTTTAACAGCAGATTCCACGTGCAAAAATAAGAAAAAAAGTCCCTTTAAATATAGATCGAGAAATGCCTCCTAAGGGAGCTACAGCCCCCGAAAAGGGAGCCCCTGAATATGGTTTTTATCTAATATTTATAAAAAAGTAGAAACACCCTGTCATCTACTACATGAAACTGTCACCTGTCTTGAATTATTCTATTTTTTCCTAAACATGGCAGTCGTATTCCAAGGACCACGCGAGTCCATTTCTATGGTTGTGAATTGTGAATTTTTATGCCATGTAAAATAATTTTCAAATCGATTTTAAGCGAAAACGGTGTATGTTAACGAAGTTCAACAAGATGACCTTTTTTATGTGCAAAACTCCAAAATTTCATAATCTGACATCAAATTCTAGTACAAGATACGTACGAAAAAAGTTAAGGTAGTTTTAACCCCACTTCCTATCAATCTGACCCAAACCTCATGAAATTTTTTAAATTGTTATTGTTACGTCTTATTGGTCATAAAAAGTTTAATTAATTCCCTAAATTTCACTTTCCTATCTTTAACGGTTTTGGAGATATTAAATAAAAACCATCTTCAGGGGCTTTCCTTTTGGGGGCTGTAGCTCCTTTAAGAGGCATTTCTTGACCTATGTTTATAGGGACTTTTTTTCTTATTTTTGCACGTAGAATCTGCTGTTAAAGTATGGTGCACTAATTTCAGGACACCCTGTATAAATAAATAAATTTTATGACATTAAACAAATTTCAAACAGAATACTACGTTGATTTTATAAATTTAACTAAGTATTTTTTAGTTCTGAAAATCTGGTACTTTTTTTAAATGTAGTACTTTTTGAGTAAAAACTAGTACTATTTAAAAATATATTTTGGCAACACTGCCCTTGTTGCAAACTTCAGTTCGTGACTACAACGTCATAAAGTTACAGCTTGTCAATGTGTATTTCACAAAGACCAGGCTCTAGTCTTTGTGGTGTATTTAAAAGATCACTTAGTGTCATGGAAACATGTACGATAATGTGTGTTTTAAAGGTGAAAGTATAAAATAGTATATTATGTATCAAGTTTTATAAACGCCATTTTAGTTGCGAGTTTTAATAGGCACGAGCGAAGCTTGCGAGCGAGTGTTTGGTAAAAACGAGTGTCTGTAGAAGTTTATAAAACTAGTTACTTTATCTACGATAAACATAGAAGAATTTAAAGCCAATTTTATTTGTTAAACATTTGACATCTGACAAGTGTTACCCAGATTTAACCTCACTTTTTCCCAATTCATAATAAAGCCAACTTTTAGCCCGCGACTCAAAGACACTGATTCTAACTTAGCATAGCTAACTTCAGCCAGTGACTAAAACACAGCTCGTCACGAAGGCTAGAGACATGAGTACAAACCGATATGAAGGGGGTGAGGCAAAAGCCAATTATAATTATGATTGTGATTGCAGCAACAAATACAAAACACATAGAAGTGTCACTCTTGAATTAACGCGAAAATACCCTAGTCCTTCCGGCAGCAGTTTCCCCTTGCATCGCGTACCCGCTCTGGTGTGCTGCACACGATGCAGGGTTTTGTATGTTAGGATATGTTTATACAGGGTAAGTTTTACAAATTAAAGTATGTTATATGATTTATTATGTGTTAATTATACCGAAGTTTTACAAATTAAAGTATGTTATATGATTTATTATGTGTTAATTATACCGAATAACTATTCAGTGAATAATAAAATCTCTTATCCTACTTCAAAACGTAGTGCCCTCGTAATTTAGAAATTTAGTCACCGGCTACGCGTATACGTTGCTTATGTCAGAGATGCTTCATTTTAATGACATCAACGGACCGCCTTCAAGTATATCTTCTGTGTTGTGGGATCAGTGACTAAAGTTTTTTTTTGTTCTGTGCCAACGTATTTTGTCTCATAAAAATACGCGTCAAACATAGGAAGTTTGTACTCCTTTGTGGTTAGTGTTTTAAAGTGTCGCAAAATTGTGAATAACCGGTAAAAACAGGTTTTTTCAGGCATTGAAAAAATTGTCTTTTTGGGAAAAATGATTTTTTTCTAAAAATTACAAAGCAATCAACAACTTAACATCATTTTAATTAAAACAAATATCCTTAAGGATAATAAATTTATTACAAAAAAAAACAAATAAAACTAAACATTGTATTAAATTGATTTAAGAAAATAAACGTAAACGTTAAATATACTGTCTGTCGGTTGGGTCCTTTTTGCAGAAGGAAGTCCATTGAAAATATACATTTACAAAATAATAATGATTTATAAAGTTGAATTACAAAATTATAATTTTATAAATCGATCTGTCAAGTAAAACGATAGTTATGTTAATACGGCACCGAATTTGTTTTTTTGCGACCCAGTAGAAGATTCTTACTGAATTATAATAATAGAATATTTCTATTAATATAATCATATTATGATTATAATCAAAGTCGAAAATTCACTTTTTCTAGATATAAGTGTACAGATATTGTGAAATTTTCAGAAAAATTAACTTTTAAATTTTTTTCGTATTGCCCTTTGAATAAAATGTAAAAAATGTCAAAGTAAATTTTTCTGAAAATTTCCCAATTTTTCCGGTTTTTTTTCCGCCGGCTTAATTTTTCTGGAAATTTTAAAACCATATTTATGGTAGGAGCATATAATAGTATATTCTGTAACAAGTTTGGAATACAGCATATTCCGCTCGAGTGAAGAGTTTCACGAGAGCGAAATATGCAATTTCAAACGTGTTTCAGACAATTAAATACTTTTTCTACGTTTCCAAAAAATACCATAGAAAAGTCATTTGATTGGAAGAAAGTGAGGTTGGATCGGTCTAAAATTTGTTAGATATTAAAAACAGAGATGTCGCCACGAGTGTTTATTCTGTCGTAGGATGATAGAATATTTCATTCTGTAAAACTTTACGGAATATATGTCATTCCATAGATAAAAGTGATAATAGAACGGTCAAATTCGGTAATAGGAGTGGAAAAATGTATTTTTGGCGATTCTAATGAAATTTTTAGTATGTATTAACTCTATTCAATGCATTTAACAGTTTTTGAATGTTACAATAAAAATATTCATACTTACCATTTTTAGTAGATTTTTTTACGTAAATGCTAAGTTAAAGTTAATAAGGTAATTGTACTCACATTGTTGCAAAATGTTTTGGAATATATTCGGCGAGTTGGAGTTCCTGTCGGGGGAATCCATCCTCTGGTTGGCGTTGTTGGAGAAATTGGGTTGCATATCGAAACCGTCCCTGCTGCTGTTTTGCTGCATGTCGTCGTGGATCGAGACAGGGGGCGGACTGAGGCCCCGGGCGCCCGCCATACCTTGTAGGCGCACGCGCCCCGGCCTTACGCCCCTCGGCAATACTGAAAATCTGATAAAGTGTTTCTTACCGTGGATTTGTACGGGTTTGGGGAGACCACCAAATTCAACGTTAAATGGACAATCGTTTATTAATACAGTTTGCAAAGAATCTACAAATTTTAATGTATGCGTTTCGCCATCCAGCGTAAAGTGTTGCGGTTTTGCATCGAGAAACACCGGCACGATTATCTTGGCGTCGATTATCAAGCTTATTCGGCCGGCGACAAGATCGGTTCTCTTGCTTGGACCGATTTTAACTTGCGGGGGCGGGCCTTCGAGTTTTACTAGAGTCTTGACGCCCTCCAAGTCGATCGTTATCCCTGGCCCGCCGAAATAACACTCGTAGGGCTTGTGGTTGATAAAGATTTCTCTGCAGGGGACCCCCAAACGAACCTGACACACACCTCCATTTACATTAACCTCCTTATACGGCTCATTAAAAGACAACATGTACGACTCCGCATCGTTAAACGATAACCCCCGCATCCCATCCTGAAAACCAATCTCTCTGGGATCGTCCCAGTTCATAAAAACAACCGCCACTTCATCGTAATACCGAATATCCCTTGGGGTACCGTCGATGTTGATATTTTTGATATCCTCCTGATTAACGGGACCAACAACTAAATCAGCAGCAGAAATTTCCGGGGACTGTCTGCTGTCGTCGTTGTCGACGCTGGGAGGGTGGAAGTCGAAACGGGGGGCGCCCAAAGGCCGCCACGCGCTGTTGGGAGGATTTAACCAGGGACGCGCCCCGGGCCTGGGCGCCAATGCCTGCGGACCCGGGTGCATCACCGGGTTCTCCCAATGTCTACCACGTCTACCACTACCTGAAAAAAATAAAAAATTTCAACCCTAAACCTTTAAAGAATGTTTAACCATATAAAACAGTTTCAAAAGTTAATACTTATATATAAATAAAATTATACCTCTCCAATGTCCCCCTTGCTGCCATCTTTGTTCCCTAAATTTGGGAAACTGCTGTCCCTTCTCGTGCCCTCTATCCTCCTTATCCCCATTATCCTTCCCACCAACTCCATAAACCTCCTTCTTGAACCTCTCCCTTTCCCTTTCGTCCTCGCTGTTGTACGACTCGTCCAAATCGTCGTCGCTTATACTTTGCGTGGAAATATTGATAACGGACTCGTCGAGGTCTTTTTTCTTCGCCTCAATCAGCTTGCTTTTCTCCATTTGCATTATGATTTGGTTTAGAATCCTGCTCTCCTGCTCCTTCGTTATTTTTCCGTCTTTTATGTCCTGCTCGTCATCTTGGGAGATTATTATCTGAGGTTTGTTCTCTTCAGATGAAGCTGCCAACTTCTTTTTGTGAACTAAAACAATTAAATTGTTAGTAATTGCAAGAAAACTTTAGCACCACCAGGTGAATGTTTAATACTTGTACAAAAACTTAACGGGGTTTTTCATTACACTTACAACTTTTGGCGAATATTTTGTCTCTGTTGGTAGCATTGGCCAACTTGGCTCTTATAGCGTCTAATTTGTCGTTCTTTTTGGGCGGTGAATTAATTTCCACTACATCGTTTATTTTATTGGAAATAATGGGAGGTGGTGGTGTGGGGGGTCTATCGTTCACAACACTCGGTAATTTTCTTAAATCCGTATCTTCGTTACCAAACAAACTAAAAAAATTGTTTTTTTAGTAGGTTCTCATAATTTTTTTTTCGTAGTACTTACATGTCGAAAACTTCGGTTTTTGATTTTTTTGGGTTGCTTCCATCAAGAGCCTCTGTGGATGGACGTTTTTTGCCTATCATTGCTGGTAATTGGCGCAAATCAACGTCTTTACTTACACCTATAAGATTTTTGTTATTTTATTCTTACTTACTGGGTTCTATTATGTATTTTTTTGCTTGTTTTAATAAATTAAGTGGTCGAAGGTAAAGTTGTGTTGTCCCAAAGAAAGTTTTAATTGGTATATTAACATAAATTTAATTCTTGTTAACAAAACACTTAATTTTGAGTAATACTTAAGCAAACCTGTAAGTTTTTAAGCAATTTAATAACATTGAATCAATATAAAAACAAATCTAAAGAATTTTTAAAGAATCATACAAAACATTATATAAAAAAGGTTTTAAGAAATGGAACTGTAAAAACAAGGTTTAAAGAATGTTAAACCATCAGAAAGGTTAAGGGAACATTAAACCATAAAAATAAGGTTTTTAGCAGAAAAGAAATCATCAATATAAAAAATAATTTTGATAATAAATAATAAAGGTATAAGAATGGTAAACACGTAGTTTTAAAGAATGTTAAGCCATATAAATACAAGGGTTTTGAAAACAATAACATAAAATGTTAATAAACACAAAATTTTAAGAATGTTGAACCACAAAACCACGCAAGGTTTTAAGAATGCTGGACACAACCTTAAGGTTTTAAGAATCTTGGACATAAAAACACAACCTAAAGGTTTAAAGAACGTTAACCATAAAAAATAGGTTTTTAAGAATGTTAAACCATAAAATTCGTGGTTTTAGGAATGTCAAATCATAAGAAAAAGGGAAATGTTATACCATAAAAACGTTTTTAAAAATGCAGGATCATAATAAACAAGTTTTTAAAAAGGATAAAAAACAAGTTTTTAAGAATGTTAGGCTTTAGAAAAGTTTAAAAAATATTAAACCACCAAAATAAACACTTAAAATAATAATAAAACACAAACATATTAAATTGTTTAGAAGCTTATAGAAATTATTTGCTATGTTGTATATTTACCAATATACAAATAAAATAAACCTTAAATAACAGTAAGATAAATAAACACAACACAACTTACCTTGGTTCTCACCACCAAATACAAACCCAACAATATTTTTTTTAAATAATAATTCCCCTGAAAGGAAAGCAAATACGAGCTTTTCAAGGTATTTTTTATTAATCAAAACAACATAACAAAGTACAATTTGGATGAATGCTCTGCAACAACAAATCAGTGTAAAAACCTCAAAAATCTTACTTTTATCGTCGCTCTGAAGACGCAGCTGTTTCTCCGGGGGGCCCAAAGAAGCCCTTAAATCCACGTCTTGGTGCTGGGGGACGTCTTCAGGGCTCGGTGGGGATGGGGAGCGATTCCGCCTCACGTAATTCCGCGACTTCGACGATTTGGCGTCCTTGAAAGCCGCGACGTCGACTTTTTTCGATCTTTTATCCGAATCCTTCCGCTTTTCCTCATATTTATCCTTTTTCTTGTTCTTGCTGGGCGACTTTTTCTTATCTTCAGCCTCCAAAGAGCTGTTTGAGGATGACTTCAAAGAATCGCTGCTGCTTTTACTGGGCGACTTATTAATTTTGTCCTGTTTAATTTTAGGCGGGGATTTTTTGTTGCTGCTAACGTTGTTTAGTCTTGGGTCTGTTCTTGTTACTTTAATTTGCACGTTTTCCTCCTTGTTTGCTTGACTTTGCATTTTTTGTAGTCGCGGGTCGCGAGTTACCGGTCTTTTATTGGCTGCTGAGATTAACGCGCTGCTTACAGGCGATATTTTTGGCGCGTTCGGGTTGCTGGGTATTTTTTGATGCAAGCTCTGAAAAAGAAAAGAAAAAAATTAATTATTTTTACCTACTGAAAGAAAATGTTAATTAACTTACATTTAGTTTGTTGATTTGATTCCCATATGCCTTTCTGGGATCTTTTGTTACAATCTACAAAGAAAAAAGTTATATACAAAATTCTTAAAATAACCTTCATCAAAACATCTAACAGATGATTTTTAGAATTCTACATAAAAAACATGGGTTTAAAGATTAAATTAAAAAAAAACAAAGTTTAAGGAATGTTAAACTATAAAAACAAGGTTAAAACACGTTAAAAACATGATGAACTATAAGCTGCGTTTTAAGAAAGTTACACGATAAAAATGATCTTAAAAATGCATGTTTTTGTAAGAATCGCTCTACAAAAATTATAACTTACGTTAGCACCAGTCACCCTGAGATTGACCTGCGCCAGTTCCAACTCAATTTTTTTCTTTTGCATCTCCAACAGTCCCTTCTTCTTCTCCAACAAATCCTTCTGCATTTCCAACAACTTATTGTGGTCTACCGAAGCGCCATCGTTTTTCAAAATTTTGGTAGGTTTTTCGTTCTTCAAGAATTTTGGGTTAAAGTGGATGTGGACGTTTGAGGGAGGTTGAGCGGTGACGGGCCACGCCGGGTCAAGCAAATTGATTTGCACGTCGATCGCGTACAGTTTTTTCTGTGGGAACTGATCGTTCCACGTTTGCCGCAGTTTGTACATTTCGGCGCGAGTTTTTTCGTCAACCTTTTAAAAGAAAATTTAAAAAATTAAGAGATATTCTGTTTATTAAGGGAAATCACCTGGTGAAGGTAAACAAAAAATAGAAATTCGGGGGGATTATCACTCTAAACCCCGAAATCAGAATGTTAAGCAATAAAAAAGTTTAAACATATTAGTTTATTAAATTAAAATCAAGGTGTTAAAAAATGTTGAACCAAAAAACATAGGGTTTAAAAAAACCAACTACTAAAAAACGAGGTTTTGAAGAATGTCAAACCATATAAATAGAAGGTTTTTGCCAAACAATAAATACAACAAGGTGTTAAGAAAACATTAACAAAACCATAGAAACAAGGATTTAAGAAATGGTAAATCATTGAAAACAACAAGAACTTTAAACCATAAAAACGCAATGTTGAAAGCATATTCCCCTATAAAACACATGATTTTAAGAATGTAACATTATAAAAATACAAGGTTTTAAGAAATTTAAACCATAAAACACAAAGTTAACCCATAAAAAATACAAGAGTGAAAAAAAAAGAATATTAACACATAAAAAATATTTTTTTATTTACACTAAAACGGGTTTTATTATGAACTTGTAGTTTACATTTTTACTAAAAAAAAAACACGAAATATACCTTAATTGTCTACCTAAACCAGGTTCCTCCCTTAATAGTTTGGCTTTATACTAAGGCTGTCAATTCCTAAAGTAATAAACGGTTAACCGGTTCGACAAGTTTTGACCGGTTTCGGTTTTAGCCGGATTTTTTAAATTATTATAACCGGTTCGGATATCCGGTTAACCGGTCCTATTAACCGGTTAATCAGTCCGATTATCTGGTTAACCGATCTGATCAAACCGAGCCGGACCGGTTAGACCGGATCGGCGGCTTCACCGTAACCGTGACCAGTTAAACCCATCACCGGTTTATCCGTAACTGGTTTAACTGGAGCCGTCACCGGTTTAGTCGTAGCAAATTCTTTATTTTTAATAAAAAGGGATCACTTCACTAAACCTTTCACCTTTCTTTACCCGTGACAACCGTGCTTAATTTTTTAAAATAGATACTTACTCAATAAAAATGAAATTAGAATAATAAAAATACCATAAATTTTACTAAAATCTAAAAAACAAAAACATAAACATTATTCAAGTTTCAAAATAAATTATAGTTAAGTGATATGAAAAAAAGATAAAAATAATAACAAAACTCCCTATTTTTTTATTAATGAGTTTTAATGTAAAAAAATCAATTTACCAGCATTTTCCGGTAGCAAGCAGTTTTTTTTAGCCGAAACTATGTTGCCTGCACTGGAAAACATGAAAAAACTATAGATTTTATTATTTATTTTTTAATGTTTATATTTATTTGTATTTTTTTTTAATAAAAATACTTTTGTTTTACTAACTTTTAAAAGTTTTAAAAATATTAATATTTATCAATATTAATTTTTTCAGTTGCGTTTTCAATATATCATTTGATGTCAATATCGATGTTTTAAGAAATTTGCGCATCCTTGCGCATCCCTATTAAGAGCTCAAACTATGACTCGTTTGTTTATGTTTACGGTCGCGCTTAAACCGGTTTCACTTACGGTTAAATCAGTAACTGTTAAACCGGTGACAGCTTTAATCGGTCAAGATTACAGTTAAACCGGTTACGGTTAAACCGGTTACGGTCTTTAACGGTTTTTGGTCCTACGAAACCGGTTAACCGGTCACGGTTACCAGCCTTACTTTATACACTGTTTTTAAGGGGTTACATACATATGAGCGCGTAAAAATTCACGGTGTTTAGTGATTTTTTTGTATATAATAATTATATTGAAACGAACTATAAAGCTTGAAATAGGATATGTTTCGAAGTATTCGTAAAAAAATTTGTATACGAAAATATGGAAAGTTATGGAAAATACGGCCCTTACCCCGAAACGCCTTTTTTTTAAATATCGAAAACCGCTCAATAAATCTTAATGAAAAGAACGTTATTAGTACATAGTTTCACCCCCTTCGTGAACGAAGGATTTTTCAAAAAAAAAATGTTCACGCAAATGGCGGTGATTTTCCCAAAAAATCCATTTTCGACGGCACAATTACAATTACAATGGTAATTAGGAACAACACTTTCAAATTTCAGATCGATCGGTAAATTGGTTTTCGAGAAATCGTGCTCACGGCAACGGCACTTTTCAAAAAATACGATTCCGAGATAAACGCGTTTAAAGTTTTAAGTTCATTCAATTTGCCTTTAAATATTCGTGAGCTGGCGCGCTATAAATTGTAATAAGTTCTAGTGCTCCGATCTTGATGAAATTTTGAGTACATTTTCTTAAAAGCATATGTTGTAAAAATATTTAATAAAAAAATCGATTTGACAAATGTATGTAACCCCCATAAAACATAAAAAACAATAAAAACATATTGCTTCATTAACCTTGGATTATATTTATTTATAAAAATCACTTTAAACAACAAAACAATGTTTAATTTAAACAAAATCGTTCAAGGTAACGCTGGAAAATTAATTTTTGCAAATGTCCAGCTCAATATTGGTTGGAGGCCAAAGGTCAATATAATAAAAAATTAAGAGTATTAAATTAACTAAACTGAACAAAAAAATTTAAGCATATTTTTGAACAAAGTTGAAATCAAACTGAATTTTTAAACATCGACCGATACCGATTATGCGTTTTTTCGACTTCGTTCTTTTTTGTCCAAGATTCTTTCATTTTTATGTTTTTATTACCAAATAATAAAATACAGTATACAGTATAAAATTGTATCGTTAAATTTATGTTTTGGTCAAAATATCTTAATATGCTTAACTTTATTCCATTAGTTTATAAAAATTGCAAAATAGTTTTTTTCGTTTAGCGAGCCGTTTAGAATATAACGGATACAAAAAAATCGACGGTTTTTGTTATAAATTGACGTTTTTATTAATTAAATAAGTTTTTATCAGTGCATTGTACGAAAAAAATCTATTTAGGCTTTATGTTTAACAATTCAATTTTGACATTTTTACCTAGAAGCAATATTACGAAAGATAAGATAATAAAATGTTACTTACAACTTTAAAAACATTACAAAATGTTGAAACAACATTTTGACTGAAGAGTTCCTTATAAATACCACCGACGTTCTTCACAATACAGTCCATAAGATAGAGAATAGGCAACTTCACATCAGTATGAACCTAAACACACAATAAAAAAACTAACACTGTAAATTGGTCCTTATTTTTTTCATTCGCACTTAGTAGCAGTAGAACTTTCTTTTTCATTGACAAAATATTTTTGTTTTATACCTACTTTGTGTGCAACTCTGGATTCTGCCCAGACTCAAGCACATAACACAGAAATTTGTTTTTTTTTGTATAACAAAATTAAACTGATAAATAAAATTTTTAAAATCAGTTTTGTAATTTTTCATTAAGAATCACTTTTATGACCCAACCTCATTTCTTGTCATAAGTCACTGGGCTTGTGTTGAATAGAAAATTAAAAACCATGAAATTTGAGTGGAAACATGGCATAATTATCTCTAAAAACAACAAAGTTGACATAAAAAACAAAATTGCATTAATGTTATTTTCTTAAAAAATATCTGGGCGGTTCCATGATTACTAACTGGAGAAAAAGAAAGAACACAAATTGTTTTATGAATAGGGAGATATGTTTTTCCTATAACAATTATTTTATGATAGTTAATTTTATTGCTAAGAACTATCATAAAATTATTATTATAGGAACAACACATCTTCAAAAATGTTCATAAAACATTTTGTTTTCTTTCTGTTGGTCCCGTTAGTAATCATGGAATCACCCATCTGTTGTTTTAAGAAATAATTATGCCATATAACTGCTTGCTTTACAAGAATGTATCCAATAAAAATTATGTTGTATTTTTTAAGAAAAGTTTTTTGGTCAATGGTTGTAAAAATAGAACTTAAAAATTACAAAAAAAAAACATTAATCCAATAAAACCTAGTTCATTGTCTTGATAACATTTAAAATGAAATTGTATGATTTTTAGAATGTTTTAAAAACATTTAAAATGTTAAAATAAACGGATTTTTGAGCAAAATTTAAAAGGGAGAGGGTAAGGAAATTTAAAGCTACAAAAAAAATAATCAAAAACTTAATTTGTTAAATTTGAGACACCTTATAAATTTTTAAATAGATTATTTTTTTGGTGGTGTATCAAAAATAACACTAAAAACTAAAAATTAATATTCAAAAAATAAAAAAGCCTTAAAAAATTGTCTTAAAATTTATTAGGCTTCTTTTTACTTATGTATTTACCTAAATAAAACCTAGAAAATAGGATGTGTAGTAGATATTTTTCACTATTCTTCTCTATGTATATTTTTTAAAGCAAATTTTTTTGACATTCATAAAATTATTAGCATATATAGCAAAATAGAGCATTATTTAAAATCAACATTATTTTTACTGAAAAAAAAATAAACATATTAGAGAGGTATAAGAAAAACACTTTTTAGCCCAATGTTTTACACAATGAATATTAATTATTGGAAATTAGATTAGATAAGCACTGAGTCATAAATAACAAAAACGTAAATAAATTATGTTATGTATAAAACTGGACTAAAATACTAAACATTAATAAAATAAATAAATATATATTTTTTAAATTTTTTATGTTCTTCTTTACCTAATAAAAATAGAAAAAAAATGTAGAATGAGTGTCAAAGCAATGCAAAAATAAATTATGTCACTTTCTAAACTGTTTATTAAAAACTTTAACATCTGAAATAAATTATGCACAAACTCAGAATGCCTCAACAATTATTCGAGCATTCCCAATCTGCATTTGTCCCCCTAAATTAATTTAAGAAGTAGTAATAACAATTAATAATGGATATTAACCTTTGAAAGATGTGTTTCAATAGCTTCAACTATATCACTCGCGTTTTGAAGATTCTCTTCTGCTAACATTGTCAACACATTTATTAATGGCTTGCTGTTGAACGTCAAGTCTGCCAAACTAGACGTGTACTCTGCTTTTATCTCCTCTGAACTCATTTTTCCTTCTTTTGTAACCCTTATTCCATTTAAATAGGTCTAAAAACAAAAAAATGCAAAATTTGTTATATCTAGCTTAACCTGGCATTCTAGCTTACATTTTAAGACAGTTATAGCTAGTTTTAACACAGTAGTCTATTTAATAATGACACTCTTAACAGTATACTGGTATACCATCCAGGTTTAGTGGACATTTTATAAACAACTTTCTATCTTAAGTTGACATTATTTACTATTTTGAGTTAACACAAATTTTTCGGTGTTCCAACATATTTTCAGTTTTACCAACATGTGCACATTTTATTTAAAGACAAATAATAATCACTAAATTTGGTCAATACATATGGATTTAAATTTTATACGTTATAAAAATGTGAGGTTTAAAAAAAGTTCATTATTTTAACCTAAAGCGCATTTTATACGTAACATTTGACATAAACGTGATTTTCAAAAAACTGACATTTTAACCGTGCATGTCCCTTTAATAAACATACCAAGAGTATCCAAACTTAAACCACTGTTAAAACCCCCAAAATAACCCCGCAAACCTTAAAAACAAAGCTTTTATTTAACCCTAATTTTGACGGTTTTCGCATATGGCGTAACATTTCTTACATCCCCAAACAAACCCTAAAATTTCGTCACTCACCTCAACTGTAAAGCAGCCACTTTCCGTGCATCTTCATCCCCAATTTTAACACTGCATTTCAATGATTTCAAGCTGTTTTAAACACAAGGCACACACTTTAAGTTGTTGTCACAAAAATGGCGACTTCGTTTGTTTCTCAGAAATGATCACAGCTAACTGACATGCGCAGGCAACGGACAGCTGCCAACCCCCACGATAATCCCCCAAAATAATCCTTATTTTGGAGATTTACCTTCTTATAAATACCTTTAAAAGGTAAATTGGTTCTTAGAAATGCGATTTAAGTGATTAAATTTATTGTTTAATTTGTAAATACTTCAAAAACTGCACATCTCATTTCCTGGTTATTTTTGTTTTTAAATGTTGCAGATTTGATGTGCTGCAGCGCCATCTATGTGCAGTTTTTTACATTTTAAACGTCCTTCATAAAAAAGACACAAAACGTCAAAATAATATCCACAGATCCAATTTGTTGGGTCCAAATGTGAGAAATTCGCATATTTAACAAGAAAATAATATTACATATCTCTTCAGTACAATTTAATGTCAAATTATGCATGAAAATCACGACAGGTACTCATTTACTTGCTTTAATAACATATAAATTGTGTAAATCATTTATTTACATTTTATTTACCATATGTAGTACAATGACGTAATTTTTTAGGATTATATTCGAGGGAGATGTTTAAAGGGGCCATATGAATTGACCAGGAATGATCATGGACGATTATAAGTTTTTATTTAAGGTTGTTCTAGTAGGAAATGCTGGGGTTGGTAAAACATGTCTTGTAAGGCGTTTTACACAGGGGCTTTTTCCCCCTGGTCAAGGGGCAACAATTGGAGTGGATTTTATGATAAAAACAGTTGATGTTGGTAGTGAGAAAGTCAAAGTAAGTTTTAGTTTAATACAGTAACCTATATAAATATATATATATATATATATATATATATCATTGAATCAACAGTTATATCAAAGTGTAAGACACTAAATTCTTTATTTGCTGATGAATACAATAATTAATTTATGAAATAACCCACTTTTAGCTTCAAATATGGGACACTGCAGGTCAGGAACGCTTTCGTTCAATAACTCAAAGCTACTACAGATCTGCACATGCCCTAATTTTAGTTTATGACATTTCTTGCCAACCAACCTTTGACTGCTTACCTGATTGGTTACGGGAAATTGAAGAGTATGCCAGTAGCAAAGTTTTAAGAGTTTTGGTGGGTAACAAAATTGACAGGGAGGACAGAGAGATACCCACTGTTGTAGGGGAGGAGTTTGCTGAAAGACACAACATGTACTTTTTAGAAACATCCGCTAAGGAGTCTGATAATGTTGAGAGGCTTTTCATGCAGATTGCTGAGGATTTAATGAAGGTAAGTTGGTCATTTTAAGATTTTACCCTTTTTGGGCCAAGATACCTAGATGAAAAGGTTATCTGGTAATATTTTTTCTCATTTTAGCAAGCCAGAAGTCGCGATTTACCGCGGTACGACTCGAATACGACCACGATAGATGGAAAAACGTCGACCATCAGCGATTTTAGTTGTTGTAGTAAGTAACAATGATGTTTTTTTAAAGTTTTGCTTAGGTTTAAACAAATTATCTTTTACTAAATTTGGTTGTGAGAGGTCAAAATTAAACTTAACAGTCGCATGTGGCCTCTATATGTGTACCCAGAGAACCTGGAACAGGGGGGTTAGTGAATGACCCCAGTATTTTAGTTTCTGCGCGGCCTCATTTCTTTTTTCATTGCTTAGTTACTATAAGAAATACAAAAATACATTAAATTTTAAAATAATAAAAAACAATAATGTAATAAACACAAAAAGGAAATCACATAAGAGCACGTATTCTTCAATAACCTCAGTCGCACTGTTTTCGAATAAAGTGAGGTTAGCCACGTGGCTAACCTCACTTTATTCGAAAACAATTGACAACTACCTGAAATAAATGTACACACTGGTATTTATACGTCCGACGTATACAAAATTTGGTATACGTCTTGTGCAAGATTCATACACCTTAAGATAGGATGGTGCGCATGTTGGGCGGGGCTTAATGACGTCACTTGATGAGTGTTTTTAAATCTTTAACGTGCTTTTTAATTATCTGCTGCTAAAATTCTTGTTTTTGCGATGCTTTTGGATGTTAACTTGCTCTACTTTTTGTCTAACTTGTCGTTTTTGTGTTCGGTAAGGTTCGAATTACTTTTCAGCGTTCAAATTATTGTTAATTAACGTTAACCTGTTAGGTTTGTTTATTATTGTTTTTGTGTTGCGTTAACTTGTTTTGTTTGTGTTTTAGATTGTATAGTGCCATTTGCATTTATTAAAATGCGGTGTGGCATATTTGGATGCAATTCGGACAACCAGTCCAAGAAAAACCCTTTAAATAAAAACATTAAATTTAATCGATTCCCGAAAAAGTTTGATTTCTGGAAACAGTGTTTAAATGCCACAAAAATAATAGACAATATTTACGTTAAGACCGCTTCTGTTTCCTATAAACATTTTCTGGACAGTGACTATAAGTTTAATTTAAAACACCAACGCTTAAACACAGCCCTAAATGTTATCAAGGACTGAAAGCATTTATTATCCATATTATAACACTTTCTTCAATATTAAGTTTAATAAAAACGATGTCCAGAAATTTCTCTATTTTCTTTGATAATATTATTATTTATTATTATTATTCTCTATTTTCTTTGATAATATTACTATTATTCGTGTATTCGCACGGCAACTACTCATCAAGTGACGTCATGCGCGGGACGAACCAAAACTCGTACATGGGAGCATCCAGCCCTGCGTCTTGTGCTTTCATTGGCTAGTTTGAAAAAGTTAATCTAACCTATTAACTTCAAAATGAAAATTGTCAGATATTGTTGAGTTTGGGTTGGTTTCGCTCACTTTTGCCCATTTAAGTTGATTGACAGTGAGCAAAACCAACCCAAACTCAACAATGAAAGCTCAAGATGTATACCAAATTTTGTATACGTCGGACGTATAAATAGCCACTTCGATAAACGTATAATATATAACTAAAAGTAGCAAATTATACATATGCACCTAATATTTCATATGAAATATTAGTTGCCTAAATGATTTGCTACGATTGTTTGACACTATAACAATTAAATTAAATTAATAATGACCAGGTTTAATGATCTTAATTTTGCCAGTCGGTAGAGAAATAAAAAACAAAACGAATTTCCAAGGAAAACATGTATCGAAAAATTGAAAATAACTGAGATACAGACCCCCAATTTTTTAAATAAAAAAATATTTTTTTCTCATAACTTTTTAACTTTTGAAGTACAAACAAACACTGTTTACTGAAATGTCATTAATTTTCAAATGTATGCTATGGTAAAGCGAACACTTATAACCCATTTTCAAGTACCTAGGTATGAATTCCATGTCCTACACATGGGTGTCTGGAGATGTTTTTTCAAACATTCAAACTCGAATATTTTTGTATCGAAGCGTCTTATCAAAAATTTACCGTAGTAACTTTATTTCCCTAATTGAACACAGAATTTAAAAATAGTGTCAGTATTTTAAAAAAGTCAGTGGCGTAAACATAGGTCGGAAAAAGGAAACCTACACCCTCAATATCTATGCCACTGGAGTGCCTTGAAAAGAATTGTTATAAGCAGTACGTGAGTCAGTATTTCCCAACTATATGCATAAAATTTCAGCCAAATTAGTGAAACTGGTTAAAAGTTTTTAGTATCAAACTTTGGAGATCTGTATCTCAGTTATTTTCAATTTTCCGATACATGTTTTCCTTGAAAATTCGTTTTGTTTTTTGATTCTCTACCGACTGGCAAAATTAAGATCATTAAACCCGGGACACCCTGTATAGGTTCACAATATATTAAAGCACAAAGTCATAAAACAACACTTAAAAATTTAAGTTACAAAAAAATACAGCCAAAAATATAAACAGGGGTCAGCAGCTGACCCCCCTGTTCCATATGCGACTGTTAAATTGCTTTTTTATACGTTTTTACAATAATTGACTCATAAGGAATTGTAAAATTTCAATTTTTATATATAATTCATTCCAAGCAGTTTTATTGCGATTTTTTTTTATTATTTAATTAATAACATGTTAAAATAAGATAATATTTTTGCCAATGTTAAAATAATTCATATTCATATAAGCTTATTATATTTTTCTACATGGTCATAATCATCAAGATTTTAAAAAAATGTTTGATCAAATAACATTGTGCAATAAGAACAATTATTTTTATTAGGGCTATTATTTCCAGTTTATAAAACATAGTCGTTTAATTTTTCCTAATGTTGGTTGTTACTATTTATTTCATAAAATAAAATGCTGTGATATAACATGCATTTATTGTTTATTTATAATGTTCTATATTTATTAATCAAACAAAATTTAGCTTAAATTATGTTGTAGCTAATTATTTGTATGAATAGGTATTGTACAGCACTTAGAATTTTAAAAATGCAGTAAATAAGGTGTAGGTGAGATTTATGTACTTTTTTTATTTATGTTATTTATTAAACCAAAGATTAAGTGTTAATAAATTGTGCTATTAAAAGAGAACATAAGGTTTTATTAAAAAAAACATATTATTTACATTTATTTAGTACACTTATATAATATTTACATTAACATTAAAATAAATACATATAAAACAGTAAGTAGTCAGAAACATTAGTTTGCACTTATCCCTTGGGGGAATCCCACAGGTAATGTATACCTAGTTTTTACTAGGAGTATGCTTTGTAGGTCCTAGAACTATACCTCTTATGTCTTATGGTGCAAAAAAGCAGCATTGAGGCAACCAAACCAAATAACTAAAAATAAAAAGATATAAAATAATAATTTTGTATTTATATATTTATTTTTTACCTGTAAAAAGGCAACAGCTATCCCTACAAAACCTATAATGTATAGTCTCTGCATAAACCATAAATGAATCTGCCTGTAACAACCATGCGAATAAAAAATTTCGGCCGGCCCCTTCCTGCCACATTCTTTTATGGCGTCAGCAGGAAAACAGCATGAATCAGGAACCCAACGTTGGTCTGGCCAAGCGTCTATAGCATACCAATCTTCGTAGTTGTCCACTCCGCAACATCTGAACTAAAATGTCAAAATCGTAACTAAAGTACCGATAAAAAATACGATTTTCTGTTAATTTTATTGGAAGGAGAACATTTTATTTAGTACTATATAAATCATACATATACCCTGAAAATATTAATAAAAGCTTATACCAAAATATTATAAAGATACACATTATTTAAGTTGTGAACGGGCAGAAGGACCTAGGTTGATAGCCCTTTGGTTAAACCAATAAGGACTTTTTATTATTATAAAAGCTTTAAAAATGTAAAAATTTAGTGTCATACTTTTTTGGGGCATTTAAAGTGTTATTTAATTTATCTACGCCAGTGAGATAAGAACTTCTTATCCCACTCATTTTGAGTGAGATAAGTTCATTAACGCACGCGTTTTTCTCTGCTTTTAACCAATCAAATAAAAAAGTCAAAATGTCAAAATAACCCTAAATTAAGTCTTAGACAAAAATAATTACCGTTTATTTTTTCATTTAGAGACGTAGATAAAAATTTGTACAATATACGTGTGATAACGCTTTATTAACGTACTTTTGCGATTGCCCAACTCGTGCTACGCACTCGTTGGGCAAATTTCGCATGCGTACGTTAATAAAGCTCTCATCCCACTTATATCGTAAATAACTATTATATTATTAATATATCTTTCAAATAAAATTAATACAACTTTTTAATTTTTATTGGTATACCCTTAAATAACACTTTAAATGTCAAAAAGCAGCACTAGTAAGTAAGATACTAAATTTTGAGATTTTTAAAGTTATAACTATACAGATTGTCAAAAAAATAGTTCTATGTTTTTTGGACCTATTTAACTAGAATTATTAAGATTTTTATAAAAATTTTAAGTCTTTCAAATATATTTATTAAAAATGAAAATAAAATCTCATTTAATAGAGAAAAAATGTAATGATGATTTTTAAAATTTATAACTTTTACTTCTTCAAAATTAAGTTATTAAAAAATCGTATTTTTGTGGGATACCTTGAAAATCGCATTTACTTTGCGGTTTTTATAAAACCTTACAGGTTGGGCGGCAAAATTTTAAAATCTGCATTACGCCTTGATAAATCTTTTTTATTCTATGAAACTATACACCAAATTAAAGAACATGCTAACGCGGTTCATTTGCATCTATTAACTAATTCGCGAAATCCTGCACACCTAAGGAACCATTGGGTTCGGCGGAACCCATTTGGGAATCGCTGCTTTAGACTATATAACACAGAGATACACCTTAGAGCCTATTTATATAGTTACCTCTGATTGTATATGGTCCCATATGGTCACCAAACTATTTGACCCATGGGCTGTCATGTTATAGTGAATCTGTATGCCATTCTGTAACTCTTCCCTTAAAGTATGGCTCAGAGAAACTCTGAACAAAAACGCTAGAGAGCCAGTAGTAAATTCAGCTATAAACATCAACACAACCAATGAAAAATACTACAAAAAAAATGTTAGCAATTAAATTTAAGGTAATTTTTTGACGTACTGTTATCAGCATACATCTGTTTTGGAACCAACTGCCACAACAAGCGAAAAATGATAGTAAAACAGTTGTAGCGCCCACTAAAATTGCTAAAGAATCTGCACTTATCAAAGAGTACTGTGGTACTAATGTTGTATACCCTTCATAGGCAATTCTGAGCCAAATGCCAACTCCTAAAACTCCACAACCTGTAATCTATGTAAACAATATATTAAATTTTGACCAAAATATAAAAAATAATTTATTACCCAAAATAACACATTTATGAAGCAAAACGTTCCTCTTAAACAAGTATATCCACTGGACATTTTAAATCCTAAAAACAAAAAATACATTAATATTATATAAAATAATGTCATCAAAAGTAGTTAAAGTTTATACTTATTATTTAAAAATAGATTTAATGGAATATTTACTATTATTTGCAAAGGTTTTTGCTATTTAACGACATCGTAAAATTAGTTATTCTTACTCTCACTAAAGGTTACAATAAATGTAAAAATAAAAAAAATGTTTACTATGTCGTAAAGAACAAATTTTACTAAAATCTGATTAAAGTTGTGAAGGTTACCTAGGTTTTTGTTAAACTTCACAAGGTGGGCGCCAAATTTTGAACGTCTAATGTTTTACAAAAACCTCAGGGTACACCAACAAAATTACGCACTTTAAAACTCCATTAATTCGACAGTCGTATTTTCGTTGGTACACCTTGAAACCGGGTTACCAAAATTAGCGTTAACATGTTTTTTCTCTTGATTTACAAATGAAATGCCTTTAACGCAACGTGAGTTGTTTATAAATTTCATTAAACTTGCGAGTCTATTTTTAAACTTCTTGTTTGAATATAGGTACACCTTCCCAGCGCGATAAGTGTAAATTATTAAATAAACAGCAAACAGCGAGTTGTTATTTTTGGACTTTGTTAAACAAATTCTCGCTAAACGATTTTTTTCGTCGTGTTTTCTTGGTAATAATAAATAAACAGCAATTAGATTCGAAGTGAGCCCTATTAAATTTAAGAGATTAACGTTTGT